GCAGAACAAGCCAGAACCCATTGCTGGCTCCTCGTTTGCTCCCACCTCTTTAGTTGCAAAGGGAAATTTGGATATAGAATTTATATTCCCAAAACTGTCCCTTAGTCTCGGGCTGCATTGTGCTTTGGGGAGGACTATAAGTAAGTCTCTTTCAAAACAGTAGACTCCAGTGTGCTGGAGACGAATGGTATTTTTAAGGTATGTTTACCTGTTTGCACTTAGGGTTAAGTGTCAAACTAAATTTTAGGAAGAAAATGGAAGAATTCAGGTACCTTTATTAAATTCTTTTAGCAGAGTGAACCCTGACAGCTTCTCTATTTTCCCAGTGCTGGGGACAGCATTGTCATCCAAAGGCTTCATGTTTTCTTTCAGACACTCACACTTTGGCTTTCCCTCTCCATGCACCACATTCCTTCAGCCTCCCTTCTCACCCCTCCCTGGGTCCCTCTGATCAGCAGATGACCTTCTCTTATGATCATAGGACAGCTGCTGTCAGAAGCCCCCTTGTGCAGCCTGGGATCCGGGCTCAGCACAGGTGGGTAGAGGTGTTGAGGGTAATGTGGCCGTGTGTGCATTCTGCCAAGGAAAATAGATTTACTTTGACACAAGGAAATACTGACATTGAGAAAGGACTTGGCTGGTAAAGATTAGCATGTTCATCAGAGTCTGCTGAGCCAGGTGACCTGACTGGGAAACGTGCTCCCTGGGGAGGCTGGCTTTTCTCCCCTCTAGTTCTCTAGTCTGGGTGGTGAGTGGGGCTGGGTACTGCACTGTCACAGTGTTTAGGAGCTAAGGTGATCCTCATAAACTATTGGGGGAAGCTGGGAATAACTTACTGGGAAGCTAATTTATTTGTCTAAAGGGTGGTGTAGGTATCATTGCCCTCTTGTTTGATCTGCCTAGAATTTCCTCTTGGAGCTGTTGTGCAGACAGAGGTTGTACTTGGTAAGACACCAAACAAATTTCTAATGTGTTCTATGGGTTTCAATCTGAAAAAAAATAAAGATTTTAATATATATTATTGTATCATGTTTTCCTATTAATACTTTTTTTTCCCCTGGTGATTCCTACTCCATTTTTCTACCTGTTCTAAGGGAAAATGTTACATCTTTTGCCTCTACTTAAACTTTCTTAGGGATTGTTTCATAGGGCTTCCTGGATATTTAGTTAGCTCCTTTGTCGAAGCTTCTTGTGAGGTGAAATCCCGAGTAGAACTTGGCAGAACAGTGTGCTACAAGCAGGAAGAAAAAGCTGGTTCCCTTGATCAGAATTCTTAGGACATCCAGAATTTTCATTTTTGACATGGAAATCCACTGTCTAAACCAGAGGTATGGTACATAAGTGTGCGAGCTCTTGTTGTATTTGGACCTCGCACATGGACATGTGTTCCTTCCTGACTCGCCATGTTCAGATCCTGTTAGTTTTCTATCGCTGTGATAAACACCATGGCCAAGGCCCATGATGGTGGACTGAAGGCAGAGCAAACTCGAAATGACATGAGTTTTTAAGACAGGGTTTCTCTGTAGCCCTGGGTCCTGGAACTCACTCTGTAGACCAGGCTGGCCTTGAACTCAGAGATCCGCCTGCCTCTGCCTCCCAAGTGCTGGGATTAAAGGCGTGTGCTACCATGTCTGGCAGGTCTTTAACTCTTAACCCCTTCCTCCAGTCGTACTTCCTCCAACAAGGCCATAGCTCCCAAACCTCTCAAACAATACCATCAACTAGGGACCAAATATTAAAAGGCCCAAGATTCAGGGATAGTTCTCATTTAAACAATCACATAGATCTTTTTGCAGACCCTACCTGAGGGCCCCTTTGCTGCCCACCAGACAGGTATTAGAAGCTGCGGCCGAGCAGCTTTCATTTTCTAAAGCAGGCAGGCAGGCAGGGGTGGGCAGTATAGACCCCAGTAAACATCTACAGAGTGGACATTGTCCTGAGACCTGTGGCGTGCCACCCAGATGGCAGTGATAGGCCTTTCCCTTAAGCCTCTAGAGCAGGGGTTCCCAGTCTTCTGATGCTGTGACCTTTAATACCGTTCCTCATGTGGTGACCCCATCGTAAGATTGTTTCTGTTGCTACTTCATAACTGATTTTGCCACTGTTATGAATTGTAATATAAATACCTGCTTTATGATGGTCTTAGGTAACCCCCATGAAAGGGTCATTTGATACCCCTACCCTGTAACGGGGTTGTGACCCAGAGGTGTAGAAACGTACTAGTGTCAGCAGAGGAAGAGCTTGTAAGGCCACAGGTACCTCTGGAGTAGTGCACATTTGCTCTGGAACTAGGACCAGGGCAGAGTGCTGGAGGTAGGGAGGATGAGGATGAGCACAGCACCTCCACTGAAGAAGGCACAGGTCTGAATTTGACCTGTGTGTATAGCTGCTAGCCTGTAAGAGGCAGGAGTGATCTGTGTAGTGTGTTCCAGGACTGCCAGCACCACAGTAGTGAGACCCTATCTCAACAAAGACAATAAAAGTCCATGACTCCAGAATTGGGGAGCTGTGAACTCAAAAGATGTAGGGTCCACTGCCTGGGTCATGGATTTCCTAAGGTCATCCTGTTACTGAATTGTTCCTTCTCTTGAAAGAACAGTCACAGACCACAGGGATTCTGCAAGTGCTCTGAGCCACGAAAGTCCAACCTTTAACAGGTGTACTAGGACACACTCATCATGTTTTCAGTTTGTTTACCAAATTTATTTGGAGGTAAAAGGCTTGAGTCGTTCCCAGGGGTTTTTTTCAAGGCTGATGGTTCTGGCTACCTTCAGTGGGGTAGGAAGGTATCTTCAGAAAAGTGAGGGCCCATCCAGATAAATTCAATTAAGTGGTGAATACCCATTTTTTTCTTAGAAATACGCTGACTAGGCAGGTCTGCGGTCCCACGCTCCAGATTCTGCTGTTAGGACAAGCCTCTTAGGCAAAATCAGTGCCCTGGGTCTTTTGAGTAATGCTGAACGGTCATAGCTTCCTGTAGTACCCACAGTAACCTCTAGATGTCCCCATCACCCATGAACTCTTCCTGGCGATTACAGCCCATAGCCCCAATCCCTGAGAAGGGGAGACGAGGAATTTAGGGAAATTCTTAGAGACATACAACCACTGACCGATGTGTGAATTTGTTGTTTCAACGTGGGGCCAACTTCTTGGTGAAATGTCTACCTCAAGTGTTTTTAAAGGAATGTCTTGAAACCAAGTTAGTCTAAGGAGTTTCGAGTAACTTTATCTGCAGTAAAATACTAAATCTAAACCAAAGCTCTCAGATTCCAAGCACAACCCTAAGGTTGTAAAACTGAGATGGTTACCCCACAGAATTAAAACTTGTGTTGTTTTGGCAAACTGTTGTTTTTAGTATTTTTTTCACTTTTGTTGACTTGAGCACACAAGTGGGCCCTCTACCATCTACCTTGTTGCCACTGAATTCTCCAGTAAACCCTAGCATAACTAGAGCCACGCAGGTTTCTCCCAGTATGCCGCTTTACCCGTCCCCTATAAATGCACATGCTTGCTACATGAGGAAATAGAAGTGCCCACGTACTGAATAGGAACCTTTCAGTCAACCGCTCTCTCTACCTCGTGGAGTGTGGGTGGAGCAGTCAGAGTGTTGACAAGAAAGGGAACGCCCTGCCGGGCGGTGGTGGCGCACGCCTTTAATCCCAGCACTCGGGAGGCAGAGGCTGGCGGATCTCTGTGAGTTCGAGACCAGCCTGGTCTACAGAGCTAGTTCCAGGACAGGCTCCAAAGCCACAGGGAAACCCTGTCTCGAAAAACCAAAAAAAAAAAAAAAAAAAAAAAAGAAAAGAAAGAAAGGGAACGCCCAAGTCCTACAAATAGGAAATAGGGCTCGTTCAGATCATGGGTATGTTAAACTGTCAATGTTTACTGAATGAGTTAATGTTTTCAAATGAGCATAATAGTGTGTGTCCGGTTCCTGCCACTGTGGCAAATGCCAGATAAGAGTTACTAAGGAAAGGTTTATTTGGTTCATTGCCTTGAAGGTTCCAGTTCACTCCTCACAGGCCTCTGGAGAAGGCGGGCGCCTCGCATCGTGGCAGGAGCAGTTGGTAGAGCAAAACGGCTCACCCACAATTCTCTTACAAGAACATGCTCCCATCATCTATCTACCCAATAACCCAAAGACCTCTACCAGGTTCACCCCTGACTGATTTCCACCATCTCCCCATGACGCCAAGCTCGGGACCAAACCTGGGTATTTCATGTTTTATAAATATAGACGGGGTCTCATTACATAGCCAGTGGTGGCTGACCTTGAACTCACAGAGCTCCTCCTCCTTGGTGAGATTAAAACCCTGTATCAGGCGCCTCGGATCAGCTTCGTAAACCTAGCTATGAGTGGGAAAATACTTACGCTAACTTTTGTAATTCTCACGTGATACAATTTCCCCTTATCTCGGGAGTTTCCAAAACTCAAATACCTCCCGAACCGACTTCCTCTTGCTTTTGCCGGATTGGCACCCAGCCTGCTGCAGAACTCGCTGTTGTCTCGTTTCCCTCTCCAGAGGACCAGGGGCGACCTTGGTCATTCGGCTCAATCCTGCTCGCATTCCGGGGAAGCTTCTCCACTCAGCTGACTCCGGGCCAACAAAACGCTACCTGCTTAGCGGGTTTTATCGTCTTCCTGGGGTTGGCAGAAAAGCTGACCTCCTACGAGGGCTGGGCACCAAAGGGTCCTTTTGTGGGAGGCACAACGGAGTGGTTGGCAGTGGCCATTTTAGGGCCTGCTGTCACCTTCCTTGAGGCCTCAGGCATGCCCCAGAATAGGCTACGTCTTGTGGGATGGATAGGGGCTCAAGTCTCGGGATTCCTATAGTCCGGCATCAGTTTGGGTTTCGGTTCCGGTGGGTTTCAAGTCTGAGAACAGTAACTGGCTCAACCTCCTCGAAGGGCGGGCCGATCACCATGGCGGCACCAATCCCGGGCCGTGCCCGCTTGCGGACGGCGGTGGATCCTGACTCTCGGACACTTAGTGACGGAAGCACGCTGTCCGGTCATGCTTGGTGGGACGTTCTGGCTGCTGCTGCTGCTGTTGCTGCCACTGCGACCCCCGGGCACGCAGGGCCACAGCGGTGCCGCAAGCTCAGGGCAGGAGGACGAGGAACCGGCCGCTTGGCCGGGCGTCCAACGCCTGAAGGAGCAGCTGAGGACAGTCGGAACCCTCTCCAAACGGTACTGGGGGTTATTCAGCTGCACTGTGTGGCCCGATCACTGTCAGGACCGGGAGGCCCCCGCGCCGCCGCTGGGTAAGGGCGTCCCTGCCGCCAAACCTCTAGTTCCCCCTGCCAGCCTCACCAGCGTCGCCTCGCGCCCCTAGCAGGAGTTGCGACGGCCTCCGCGGATTAGCAGGCCTATAACTGCACATCTGGTGCAGCCCCTGGGGACAGCAAGAGGTCTGACTGCCTGCCGCACCTCACCTGCCCTGATTCCTCTAGACACTCACAGTCTCCCCATTCTTGCTGGCTTTACTAATGACTCAGGGAAAGACCTTCGTAGATATAACCGGTAGCTGTCCCCAGTCCCCAGAAACATTCGCCGCTGTGGCTCATGGAAGTAGCTCTGGAGCACATGCTGGAGCCTGGCTGGGAGTTAGGACACAAACTCCCGTTTGAGCGCCGTCCCTGAGAAACCTCAGGGTTGTCTCTCATCACTGTCCTGCCATCTCAAAGCATCTCCTTTCCAGACTGGAGCCTTCCTCTGCAGTGGGGCCGGCGGTCCCTGGATCGCTTCACCGAGTGGTTCTGCCGCTTTCAGGACTGCTGCACCGGTGGCGGGGACTGCAGGATCTCCAACAACTTGACAGGTTGGAGCTGGCATGATTTCTAGGGTCCAGGGAATCTGTGGGGAGAGGGCTGGCGACTGTGGAGAAGCGACTGGTGAGAAACTTATCCCTCGACATCCCCCCTCCCCAATAAGAGGACAGTCAGGTCTGCGGTTACTTGAGGGTCTCTTCTGACAAGACTTTGAACTTTGATTTCCAGAAAGGACACGCTCCAACAATAGGAATGACTGGGCGCCAACAATGATGGCGTCCTTAACAGATAGTCCTAGTCCGTTCTACCATTTAGGAACAAGTTCCCAAATACTTCCTATGTGGGTGTTTTCACGGAGCTAGTGCTCAGGCATGTTTGGCAAGTGTCCCGCCCCAACCCTCCTATTTTTTGAGAGTGTGAAGATATTTAGATCAGGGGCAAAACCCTGATCCCACCTCACTCCCGGTGCCCTGCCTGCTGGGGACACCCCTTACCTTTAGTTTAAGGGTGTGAGTTTGCCGGGATCTTTGAGAACCACGGATATGTCACACACACAACTAAGGCAGCTATCAGGAGACACAGTAGGCTAGGCCCTGTCACCATTTGTCCCAGTCTCTTCCGAAGATGTCTCTCCAGCCCTGAGGAAGAATAGCTCATCTCTGTTGAGGTATCTGCACCAGGCATTGTGCTGAGTTCTGCGGAGGATGAGAATCCCACACAGCCTGCCCCCTTTCAGGAGAGTTAGGACCAGACCATAAATAGCGAGCAATTTCTCAGCACGGCTGAGAGCACGGAGCCAGAAAGCTGCTCCAGAAGTGTGGCTAAAATGTCCCAGAGAGCCAGACAGTAGCTCAGGAGTTAGGGCCTAAGTTCAATCCCATAGCCACTGCCCATATAATTCCACTTCTGAGAGAGCTGACACTTCCTTCTGGCTTCTGCAGGCAGCTGCACTCTCTCCATAAACCCATCACTTACACACACATATACACATGATTTAAAAATAAAAATAAGTTTTTTAAATGTAATTTTCTAGGGGTTGGGGAGTTGGATCACTTGGTAAAATGCCTGCAGGGCAAGCCTGAGGACCCGAGTTCTGATCCCTAGCACATAGAAGCCGGGTACAACATTGTACCCCTGTAATTCCAGTGTTAGGGGACAAGACAGGTGGTCTCTGGAGCTGTTACTCGGGCTGTCAAATCAATGTGCAACAGGTCCGGAGACAGACCGTTTTAAAAAAGGAAAAGGTGAGAGATTACCTGATGTCGACCTTCACACACGCGCAGACATCCATACCCACAGGCACACACACACAACACACACAGCGTTCCCGCGTAGTCAGGTGTGCTGTTCTACCCATGAGGTGGGAAGATCATGAATATAAGGTTAGCCTTGGCTATGTAGAAAGACCCAGGATCAAAAGCCAAAACAAAACAAAAAATAAAACTCTAAGTTTAAGCAGCAAATGTCAGTGGTGGGTATAACCTGGGCTTCTTGGTTTATCTTGATAAAGTAAGGCTGCAGGGGTGGGGGTGGGGGTTGAGCCTGCATCCTGAGAGAAACAGGAAGTTATTTTCCATTTTAAACCAATCCATACCATTCTGTGGATGAACATTGCCCTATCAGACAGCCTGTGCACCCCCAGCCTCCCCCAGCCTAGGTGCATGAATACAAATAAATACCAACCAACCTTCTCCCCCTGTGTTTTTTATTACGTTAGGTGGATCTAGTGCATGCTTAGTGGATCTGGTGCATGCTTAGTGGATCTAGTGCATGCTTAGTGGATCTGGTGCATGCTTAGTGGGTCTGGTGCATGCTTAGTGGGTCTGGTGCATGCTTAGTGGGTCTGGTGCATGCTTAGTGGGTCTGGTGCATGCTTAGTGGGTCTGGTGCATGCTTAGTGGGTCTGGTGCATGTTTAGTGGATCTGGTGCATGCTTAGTGGGTCTAGTGCATGTTGCAAGTTTGCATTTTAACTCCCCACTGTGGTATTTAGCCTCAAACACAAAACCTGTTCTGACAAAGGCCCAGGGCTTAATCCTTAGCAAACTTTCCTGTTTCCCCAGAAGCAGCTCCTCACTTGGAGTTGCCTGGAGTTCTCCCATTCTACCTCTTGTGCCTCTGTCACCCTGACTGCAAAGTAAACATTAGGTTACTTAATTAGAAAAAGTGTCAATGGGGCATATAGTGCTTGTCATACAAGCATGAGAATTTGAGGTCAGTTCCCAGCACCCACATAAAAGTGAGGCACAGTGGCACAGGCACACTGGGGTGGACAGGAGGACCCCTGGGGCTTGTTGGAAAAGCCAGTGGAGCCAAACCTAGCTCTGAGTTCAATGAGAGATCTTGCCTTAAAAAAAAAACAAGCAGGGGGCTGGAGAGATGGCTCAGTGGTTAAGAGCATTGCCTGCTCTTCCAAAGGTCCTGAGTTCAATTCCCAGCAACCACATGGTGGCTCACAACCATCTCTAAAGAGGTCTGGCGCCCTCTTCTGGCCTTCAGGCATACAGAAAAAAAAACAAGCAGGAAGCCCCGCGGGGTGGCACACGCCTTTAATCCCAGCACTTAGGAGGCAGAGGTAGGCGGATCTCTGAGTTTGAGGCCAGCCTGGTCTACAGAGTGAGTTCTGGGACAGCCAGAATCTCAAAAAACCAAAACCAAAACAAACAAGCAATCAACAACAAAAACACAACAAGGCAGAAAGTCATTGAGGAAAATGCCCAGTCTGAAGAACCTCTAGCCTCTGCATGCAATCCCCCTACACACACACACACACAAGAACACATACTCGGAGGGAGGGAGAGAGAGGGACAGACCAGCAGTGACTCAGTGTGTCTGGAGCGGGATCTAGCCCAGGAATCTCAGGGCACACAGGTCAGGAAGCCTGACGTGCATTCACATCAAGTCCCTGCTCTCCCTTTAGATGACCCACTGCTCTTCAGGGCCTGGAAGTCCAGATCTGCGGCCTCCTGGTCCTGATGCTAGGGGAGACGGCTCTAAGTGGCCGTTTTCCTTTTGGGGCACCAATGGTTTTGAAGCGAAGCAAGGTGATGGCGGTGTTCTCTAGTAGACTGTCACCTGCCAATGTTCCAGAACTCCCTCTGGGTTGACTTGAGGTGCCCAGCCAATTGGTCTTGATAATAGGGTAATGGCTGGCACCTTATCCCAGCTGATGGTGCAGCCTCCCTGCCTCTGTACCCCTTCAGGGGGCAAAGGAAAGCAGGCCTGGCATTGGGAAGCTGCTCTCAAGTATGTGTGGGGTTAGGGTGGGGTGACAGACAGCATGAGCTCCTGGATCAGGATGGGAGCAGGTACCCACCGTGGCGGATCCTGAAAGGGTAATTCTATTTTCCCGGAGTTCAATCTTGATTTCTCAAATTCTTCAGCAAATGGCCTTTGAATACCATCTGCTGTGAGGTCTGTCTTCTTGCTTCTTGTTCTGAGAGCACAGGGATGTGGGGCAATATGATACAGGCCACATATTTCTGCAGCCAGGCTCTCAAGCCACAGTAGCAGCTGAGGTGCTAAAAGCATCTTCAGACTGGCTGTCTCTGGATGCTCCTGTGGTGCTGCTCCTTTCTTTGTAACTTTGGAGACCACCTGAGAAGAGGTGTCAATTCCAGAGCTGACTTTAGTCCTGCTACCCGGAAACAATGCTAATGAACTTCCCCCTCAGTTTACCTTGGGAGATTAAAGCTGTTTGGAGAATAATCTGTGACCTTCAGGATTTGAATGAACCTTGAGACTCCCTTCTGAGGTTGCTGCGTGAACTGTGTCTCAAGTACTCCCGCGCCTCCACGCCGGTCCAGAGAGATAGTTTATGTTGGGGTTAGACCCCAACACAGGGATCAGATGAATCCCATCAGAAGGGATGGGATGCAGCAGGGAGGCGGTACACACACGCCCCTGTACCTCTCACTCTGGCCTCCTTTCTCCTTCCAGGCTTAGAATCAGACCTGCGTGTGCGACTGCATGGCCAGCATCTGGCTAGCGAGCTGGTCCTAAGAGCTGTGAGGGGCTACTTAGAGAAGCCCCAAGGAGACAAGGCCCTGGCTCTGTCATTCCATGGCTGGTCTGGCACAGGCAAGAACTTCGTGGCCCGGATGCTGGCGGAGAACCTGTATCGGGATGGACTGAGGAGTGACTGTGTCAAGATGTTTATCTCCACCTTCCATTTCCCACACCCCAAGTACGCGGACAAGTACAAGGTGAGGCCACAGCGCTGGTCCGCGGCAGGGGTGGCCCAGCAGGGGTGAGGTCCCTGTGCCCGAAGAGCGAGTGGAGTTACTGACACCACCAGGAGGTAGACTTCTGAGCCTGCAGGGACAGGCCGCAGGCAGCCTCGAGCTGCAGGAGGGAAAAGCCAAGTTTCCACTACACCCTGGAGCTGTTTCCGTGACTGGAGCACAGCGCCAACAGAACCACGGGTTTTTGTGATTTTTTTCTTTGTGTTGAAAGTAGTAAAATGTAGCTGGGTGTGGTGGCACATGCCTAATTCCAATGCTGGTTAGCTGAGGTGGGGAGGGCTTGAACTCGAGACCAGCCTGGCCTGCACAACGAGATCCTGTCTTGAGAGAGAGAGAGAGACTGACTGTGTACTAGAAAAAAGACATAAACTATACCACCCCCTCCTTAGTTTACGGTTAGTATTCTGAACTCCCCACGGTCTCACACAACATTCGCATGCACTCACGCTCTCATGCACGCACCCACATGCACACATTCTGGACTCTGCTGCTCTCAGACCTCTTCCCGGCTCTTTCACACAATGGTAGCTTCGTTAGAATGTTCGGCTGGCTTCTGTTTCACTCCCCCCAGATTTACACTGGGCCATGAATGCGTGGCTGGTCTTTATAAGCGTAATTGCCTGGAAAGCACAGCCAACCCTGACACTAGCCTAGAGAACTAACATGGCCGCCAACTGCAGGCGGAGATGCTTGTTTCAGATGGCTTGTTCAGGCTCCCCCACCCCACCCCAACAAGTGTGTCATTGAGCAAAGAAAGCAACAATGTTGATTTGAGCCTTCTGCCTCGGCCTCCCAAATCTTAGATCACAGACCTGTTCATTTTTAAAATGTGCTAAAAATTGAACGGAAGGCCGTGAGCATGCTAGACAACAGCCTATTACTTAGCTACACTCCAGCCATCTTTAATAGGCATATCATCACATCACATGTGATTCCTCAGTTCTTCTTCCCATAGCAGCTTGTTACATGCTAGCAGGCCGGTGGACCAAATGTTCCTTTACTGTGTTGCTATTTGGAGTTTTGTTTTTTTCAATTACACATGTAGTAAAATTAGCCTGAACGTAAGCTAACAGCCGTGACCACGCCCATGCTGGCTCTCAGCTGTCATACTTGGGAGTGTGTAAACTGGGAAAATTACGTCAGCCTTGAGGGCAGAGCTTGCCTGAGTCACCTGATAGTTTCAGTATGGCCATGGAGGACAAGGGCAGGGTGTCCTGAGACTCAAGATGTGCTCCTGTCAGGAGGTCGACAGCTGAGCTTCCCAGGAGGAATTCTCTGGCATCGACTACAGCCAAACTGCTTGAGGATCCACTTCCCCACTAGAAAACCGACAGGTACACACACATGCCTGGGTGTCGAAGGGATGAGGATGCCGAGGAGCCTGAGATGGATAGATAGGTAGTGTAGATTTTCCAAGCTGCCCTGAGAAGCAGCTGTGCCCAGCTCTGAGAGAATCCCAAAGCTTATGCTCGGTGGAGGGTTTACTGTCTTGTGATGGGGAGCCCTTGTGGTAACTAACCCTCAAGTGTGGCTGGCAGCCTCTGGGCCCTTGAGCCTTTCCTCTATCTCGGTTGTTGAGCTCAGAGTCTCTGCCTCTGGGGAGTGACGTGGCCCTTAGCCCCAGGATGGGACTTAATAAGTCCTGGAGAAGGCACCTGGCTGGTGCTTGTTTCCTGCCGGAGGGGCTTTTCTCGTGAACCTAGCACGGCTTCATCCCAGGTGGGGATGCCCAGCGCAGGTACACGAGAGTCACCTGGGAAGCTTAGTACCAGGTGGGGCCCAAGCCAGGGCTAGGGTTTGGTAATTATTGGGGGTGGAGTCCGGCTTCGGTGCTCCACTGCCCTGAGGAAACGAGCCCATGCTCCTCTGAGGTCTGAGCTCCCGGTGTCCTGTGTAGGAGGAGTTGCAGTGGCAGATGCAGGAGACCCGGCGGCGCTGCCACCAGACCATGTTCATCTTTGACGAAGCGGAGAAGTTGCACCCGGTGCTGCTGGAGCTGCTTGGACCGCACCTGGAACCCAGAGTCCCCGAGACCCAGGGCGTTGAGCCACCGCGGGCCATCTTCCTCTTTCTCAGGTAGGTTTGAGCAGGAGATCGGGAAGTGGGGGGCTGGTTGTCAGTCCTAAGGCCTTCCCAAAGCCAAAGCCCCACAGCTTGGAAGCAGGCAAGGGACGCTGAGGCCTCCCTGCCCACCCCTCTCCCCCAGCATTTGGCAAGAGCTGGAAAGGCGGAACTGCTTGTCTGCGCAGCCGCCTCCGAGGCCTTTGCAAAGCGCATCAGAAGAGTTAGGGTTTTTGATTTTCGGTTAGCCTTTTTTAGGTTTTTTGTACAATGTGTTTTGATCGTGTTTACACACACATTCCAACCCCAGTCACTAGATCCATTCCTCACCGTCCTACCCATCCGACTTTGCGTCCCTTAAAACAAAACAAACGAAGAAAAACAAAACAAAACAAAACACTCCGGGCGGTGGTGGCGCACACCTTTAATCCCAGCACTCGGGATGCAGAGGCAGGCGGATCTCTGGGAGTTCGAGGCCAGCCTGGTCTACAAGAGCACCAAAGCTGGCCAAAAGACACTTAAGGTCATGCTCAACTTCCTTAGCGATCAGGGAAATGCAAATCAAGACAACTTTAAGATACCACCTTACACCTGTCAGAATGGCGAAAATAAAAAACACCAATGATAGCCTTTGCTGGAGAGGTTGTGGAGAAAGGGGTACACTCACCCATTGCTGGTGGGAATGCAAACTTGTGCAACCACTCTGGAAAGCAGTGTTTCGGTTTCTCAGGAAATTCGGGATCAACCTACCCCTGGATCCAGCAATACCACTCTTGGGAATATACCCAAGAGAGGCCCTATCATACAACAAAAGTATATGCTCAACTATGTTCATGGCAGCATTGTTTGTAATAGCCAGAACCTGGAAACAACCTAGATGCCCTTCAACGGAAGAATGGATGAAGAAAGTATGGAATATATACATATTAGAGTATTACTCAGCAGTAAAAAACAAGGACTTCTTGAATTTTGCATACAAATGGATGGAAATAGAAAACACTATCCTGAGTGAGGTAAGCCAGACCCAAAAAGAGGAACATGGGATGTACTCACTCATATTTGGTTTCTAGCCATAAATAAAGGACATTGAGCTTATAATTCATGTTCCTAGAGAAGCTAAATAAGAAGGTGAATCCAAAGACAAACACATAGGCATCCTCAGGAATATTAACCTTCATCAGGCGATGAAAGGAGACAGAGACAGAGACCCACACGGGAGCACCGGACAGAAATCTCAAGGTCCAAATCAGGAGCAGAAGGAGACGGAGCACGAGCAAGGAACTCAGGACCACGAGGGGTGCACCCACACACTAAGACAATGGGGATGTTCTATTGGGATCTCACCAAGGCCAGCTGGCCTAGGTCTGAAAAAACATGGGATAAATCCGGACTAGCTGAACATAGCGGACAATGAGGAATACTGAGAATTCAAGAACAATTGCAGTGGGTTTTTGATCCTACTGCACGTACTGGCTTTGTGGGAGCCTAGGCAGTTTGGATGCTCACCTTACGAGACCTGGATAGAGGTGGGCAGTCCTTGGGCTTCCCACAGGTCAGGGAACCCTGATTGCTCTTCGAGCAGATGAGGGAGGGGGAATTGATCGGGGGAGGGGGAGGGAAATGGGAAGCGGTTGTGGGGACGAGGCAGAAATCCTTAATAAATAAATAAATTAAAAAAAAAAAAAAAAAGAGCACCAAAGCTACAGAGAAACCCTGTCTCGAAAAAAAAAAACAAAAACACATCAGGACCAATTTGTGAATCCCAAATATTCTTGAATGTGTGACCACTGGAATGGGGTCATCTCACCAAGGACTGCATGAAGCAAAAAGAAACTCCCCATTTCTCTGTAGCCAATATTCGCCAAGAGCTCCTTAGCGTGGGATTTGGTGGGATTTGGCTTGTTTTGGGCTTGCACAGACTTTGAGCATGCTGTCACAATTGCAGCGACTTCATAGGCGCAGCTGCCCTGCAATGTCAAGAAGTCCGTTTCCTTGGAGCTGTCTACCACCCCTGGTCTTACACTCTTCCTTCTTCCTCTTCCGAAATGATACCTGAGCTGTGGAGGAGTGGGTGAGGTGTTTGTGTTTCATCTGGAGCTGGGCAGACTTGACGCTGGGCGTCTTGTTCAGCTGTGGGTCTCTGTTAATCATTGACTGCAAATAGAAGCTTTTCCGGCCGAGGGCTGAGAGATGCTCTATGGATTGGTCTAGAGATAAGTCAGTAGGAGTTCGTTTAAAATTGTGTACATTATCTCCTGTAGGGCCAATGGCGTCTCTAATCATTGGTTACTGGCCCAGTAATTGGGTTTCAACGTATAGTGTGAAACTTAGATCCACCAGAAAGTGGGGGTTACTCCCATGCTTTTTTACAACATCTTTTTTTTTTAATTTTTTAATTTTTATTGAACTCTACATTTTTCTTTGCTCCCCACCCTGCCTCTCCTCTCCCCTTCTACCCTCTCCCATGGTTCCCGTGCTCCCAATTTACTCAGGAGATCTTGTCTTTTTCTACTTCCCATGTAGATTAGATCTTTGTATGTCTCTCTTATGGTCCTCATTGTTGTCTAGGTTCTCTGGGATTGTGATTTGTAGGCTGTTTTTCTTTGCTTTATGTTTAAAAAACCACTTAGGAGTGAGTACATGTGATAATTGTCTTTCTGAGTCTGGGTTACCTCACTCAAAATGATGTTTTCTAGCTCCATCCATTTTCCTGCAAAATTCAAGATGCCATTATTTTTTTCTGCTGTGTAGTACTCCATTGTGTAAATGTACCACATTTTCCTATTCATTCTCTGGTCGAGGGGCATTTAGGTTGCTTCCAGGTTCTGGCTCTGACAAACAATGCTGCTATGAACATATTTGAGCACACGTCCTTGTGGTATGATTGAGCATCCTTTGGATATATACCCAAAAGTGCTATTACTGGGTCTTGAGGAAGGTTGTTTTCTAATTTTCTGAGAAATCACCACACTGACATCCAAAGGGGTTGTACCAGTTTGCACTCCCACCAGCAATGCAGGAGTGTTCCCTTTTCCCCACAACCTCTCCAGCATAAGTTGTCATCAATGTTTTTTATCTTGGCCATTCTTACAGATGTAAAATGGAATCTCAAGAGTTGTTTTGATTTGCATTTCTCTGATGACTTAAGGATGTTGAGCATTTTCTTAAGTGTCTTTCTGCCATTTTAGATTCTCTGTTGAGAGTTCTCTGTTTAGGTCTGTACTCCATTTTTTTTTATTGGATTATTTGTTCTTTTGATGCCTGATTTCTTGAGTTCTTTGTATGTTTTGTAGATCAGACCTCTGTCTGGTATGGGGTTGGTGAAGATCTTTTCCCATTCTGTAGGCTGTTGTTTTGTCTTGTTGACTGTGTCCTTTGCTTTACAGAAGCTTTTTAGTTTTAGGAGGTCCCATATATTAATTGTTTCTATCAGTGTCTGTGAGATATATTATATTTCGGAGGTGGTCTCCTGTGCCAATGTGTTCAAGTGTACTTCCCACTTTCTCATCTATGAGGTTCAGTGTGGCTGGCTTTATGTTGAGGTCCTTGATCCATTTGGACTTGAGTTTTGTGCATGGTGATAGATGTGGATCTATTTTCATTCTTCTTCATGTTGATATCCAGGATATCCAGTTATGCCAGCACCATTTGTTAAATATGATTTCTTTTTTCTACTTTATATTTTTTGCTTCTTTGTCAAAAATCGATGTTTGAAGGTGTGTGGATTAATATCCAGGTTTTTGATTCTGTTCCATTGGTCCTCCTGTCTGTTTTTATGCCAATACCAGGCTGTTTTCAGTACTGTAGCTCTGTGGTAGAGTTTGAAGTCAGGGATTGTGATGCCTCCAGAAGTTCTTTTATTGTATAGGATTGTTTTGGCTATCCTAGGTTTTTGCTTTTCCATACGAAGTTGAGTACCGTTCTTTCAAGGTCTGTGAAGAATTTTGCTGGGCTTTTCCAACATCTTTCAATGTTATTTACCCCTTTCTCTATTCCCTCCTTTACTTTGCCTTCCCTTCCCTTACCCCAATTCAACTCTTCCTGTTCTATTATTCCCCTCTAACCCTTTATGCCAGTGTGCCCTAATCTTCCCTCCTTTGAAAACCTCTCCCTGTGGCCCCGAAGTAATTCCTGACCTCTGTGAGTAATTCCCACTGAAACACACATATCTGAAAGTTTAAAGTTAACACTCAGAAATGAGAGGAAGCTTGCTATTTGTCTTTCTGGGTCTAGGTTATCTCAAATGATTGGTTCTAGCTCCACGCATTTGCCTGTGAATTTCATCATTTCATTTTTCTTAACAGTTGAGTGATATTCCATTGTGTAACTATGCCTCATCTTCATCATCCAGTCATCAGTGGCTGGACACCCAGGTTTTCATAACCAAGCTATTTCATAGCGACAACGGCCATGGATGAGTAAATATCTCTATGGTAGGAGAATACAGTCCATTGGCTATATGGTCGAGGCTGGCACAGCTGGAGTGTGTGGCCACTCTTAGTTTTCTGAGGAGTCCTTGCACTGATTTCCACAGTGGCTTCACCAGTCTGCACTCTCAACAGCAATGTCTCCTTTCCCCACATCCATGCCGGCATTTGTCTTTGGTGGTTTTGTTTGTTTTTTAATCTTAGCCATTCTGACTAAGGTAAAATGACACAGAGCCTTATTTACTATGAGAACTTGGCCTTAGCTTAGACTTGTTCCCAACTAGCTCTTATAAACTTAAATTAACCCGTTTATATTGATCTGTGTTCTGCCACGTGTCTCATTGCCTCTCCTCCATACTGTCCATCCATAGTGCTCCATCTCACTGGCAAATCCTACCTCTCTTCTTCCCAGAGTTCCTAGCTCTTCCTGAAAGTTCCACCCGTTCTCTCCTGCCTAGCTATTGGCTATTCAGCTCTTTATTAAAGCATCGGAAGGTGCCTTGGCAGAGATACATCTTCATAGTGTGCAAAAACAGTATGATGACATCACAAAGTAGTTTTCATTTGCATTTTACTTTTAGTTAAGGA